TTTAGCTGCCGTTGGGACTGTTCCTGTTATTGCTTAGCACTGAATGCCCTTTAGCTGTTTCCATTTTATTGTGGCTCTAGAAAATTGCAATATCAAAGTACTGAATAGTTCTGCTTTCACACACTGAATGAAAACTGTAGTGGAATAGGAGATTGATTAAATTCTTCAATGAGAGAGCATAGATCTTCTGAAAAACTATTCAAAATCTGGAAGATATTGGCCACAAAACAAATTCAGCTCACAACACTATCTCCATATTTTAATAGGATGTATTGTTAGAGCCAAAATATAAAGGCATGTTTGTATGAGCGTGCCACAGCCACCCCTTCACATTTCCTGCTAGATGTAGAGAAAATTATGTTTCAAACCTAAAATCATTGCAAGTCAGAGCTACAGTTGCAAGAAAAAGTATGTGAACCCTTTGGAATGATATGGATTTCTGCACAAATTGGTGATAAAATGTGATCTGATCATCATCTAAGTCACAACAATAGACAATCACAGTCTGCTTAAACTAATACACACAGAATGAAATGTTGCCATGTTTTTATTGAACACACCATGTAAACATTCACAGTGCACGTGGAAAAAGTATGTGAACCCTTGGATTTAATAACTGGTTGAACCTCCTTTGGCAGCAATACCGTCAACCAAACATTTCCTGTAGTTGCAGATCAGATATGCACAAAGGTCAGGAGTAATTCTTGACCATTCCTCTTTACAGAACTGTTTCAGTTCAGCAATATTCTTGGGATGTCTGGTGTGAATCGCTTTCTTGAGGTCATGCCACAGCATCTCAATCGGGTTGAGGTCAGGACTCTGACTGGGCCACTTCAGAAGACGTATTTTCTTCTGTTTAAGCCATTCTGTTGTTGATTTACTTCTATGCTTTGTGTCATTGTCCTGTTGCAACATCCATCTTCTGTTGAGCTTCAGCTGGTAGACAGATGGCCTTTAGTTCTCCTGCAAAATGTCTTGATAAACTTGGGAATTCATTTTTCCTTCGATGATAGCAATCCGTCCAGACCCTGACACAGCAAAGCAGCCCCAATCCATGATGCCCCCACCACCATACTTCACAGTTGGAATGAGGCTTTGATGTTGGTGTGCGGTGCCTTTTTTTGCCACACATAGTGTTGTGTGTTTCTTCCAAACAACTCAACTTTGGTTTCATCTGTCCACAGAATATTTTGCCAGTACTGCCGTGGAACATCCAGGTGCTCTTGTGCAAACTGTAAACGTGCAGCAATGTTTTGTTTGGACAGCAGTGGTTTCCTCTGTGGTATCCTCCCATGAAATCCATTCTTGTTTAGTGTTTTACGTATTGTAGATTTGCTAACAGGGATGTTAGCATTTGCCAGTGACTTTTGTAAGTCTTTAGCTGACACTCTAGGATTCTTCTTCCCCTCATTGAGCAGTCTGCGCTGTGCTCTTGCAGTCATCTTTACAGGACGGCCACTTCTAGGGAGAGTAGCAGCAGTTCTGAACTTTCTCCATTTATAGAAAAATTGCCTTACCGTGGACTGATGAACAGCAAGGCTTTTGGAGATACTTTTATAACCCTTTTCAGCTTTATGCAAGTCAACAATTCTTAATCGTAGGTCTTCTGAGAGCTCTTTTGTGCGAGACATCATTCACATCAGGCAGTGCTTCTTGTGAAAAGCAAACCCAGAACTGCTGTGTGTTTTTTATAGGGCAGGGCAGCTGTAACCAACACCTCCAATCTCATGTCACTGATTGGACTCCAGTTGGCTGACATCTCACTCCAATTAGCTCTTGGAGATGTCATTAGTCTAGGGGTTCACATACTTTTTCCACCTGCACTGTGAATGTTTACATGGTGTGTTCAATAAAAACATGGCAATATTTCATTCTTTGTGTGTTATTAGTTTAAGCAGACTGTGATTATCTATTGTTGTGACTTAGATTATGATGATCAGATCACATTTTATGACCAATTTGTGCAGAAATCCATATCATTCCAAAGGGTTCATATACTTTTTATTGCAACTGTATCTGCAAAAATTCCAAGAAAAACTCAATATGTATCAAAATTAGATTTTATGTCAAAGAATGTGTTACCAAACCATGGGATATTATGGAACACAAACCATGGGATATTATGGTACACAAACCATGGGTTATTATGGTACACACACTGTGCACATCAAGTGTTTCTCTTTTTGATATTATTGATCTTGTAAAATGCCAGAACTGGTCAAACCATGTTTTGTGTATTTTGGATGTAATTCACTTATTTGAATAAATTGTATCACTAAGACCCGTTAGTGCACCCCAACTTCATTGGATAGATATATATCAGTAATTCAGCACCTGCATTTTTCAAGTTGGACTTTGGACCTTGGACACAGAAATTCTAAATAATCATGATTCCATAACCGTCCCAGAGTTCCCAGCTTGATATGCAAATGAGCACAGACAGACATCGTGTTTCATACTTTACCCTGCATTTCTGCAGATACTCTATCAATGCACACTTTAATTAAAATCAAAGCATGGTTATAATACACTTTCCGAGAGATTGCATGTCATATCAGAACCGGCACCATGCTGACAAGACCCACTATGTCAAAACTATACAGTCTGTGGCTGGTTTCTGGTAACTGATCATTTTGCATCATACCTTTGGTTATAAAAAAATAGGTTTTTAAAACAGTGTTCATTGCTACTGGACCCTGCATAATTAAGTCTGAAACACGATACCTCTCTGCTTATTTGCATATCAAACTGGGAACTCTGGGATAGCTGTGAAAAGATGATTAATGGAGTTGCTGTATCTAAGTGAAACTTCTTATCAGGGATTGACCGATATTGATTTTTTTTAGAGCCGATACCGATAATCTGTGAACTTTCACGCTGATAGCCGATAACTTTTAGCGATATTCTGTGAATTTACAGTTTTGCAAACAAACAATTTCTACACAAATCTGCCGTTAGCTGAACATATTTATTGTTAATGTTTAGGTTTTCTTTGTAAATCTTTCTTTTTGTTTATTAAATAAAAAATACATCAACAAGTTAACCCATTTACCATAAATCAGAAAAACACGTGTCCCCTCTCCTCTGCATGAGAGCGATGAAGACCACTCCTCATTTTGCTTTTACTTCTCCCAGCAGCGTCTCCCCCCGTAATTCCACCTCAGCTCACAGTTAAACAACACAATCTCCTTTATATTTTATTTTTATATTATATGTATTCGCTGCTTGGTTTGACCTTTGCAAGGCATTACAGCATGTATAAGTGATATGTGTGAGAGACAGAGAAATGTGAGAGACTGAATGAGAAGTAAATCAAATAAAATACCTGACTTTTTCACCCAGACCAGAATAACACAATTGGCAACAGACTGCATGCGCTAGGCCACCGCCACCTCTTACATTATCGGCAATATCGGTAACAATAGTGTCCAATACCCATATTTGTCAAAATCAGGAATATAGGCCGATAATATCGGCAAAAACGACAATCGTCGATCCCTACTTCTTAAAGTCCAACGTATGATATTTATTTATTATTTTTGGTCTCATTTAATCTTTCCGAGACACACACACTCTCCATTACACTGTATCTTTTATTAACTGAGATATCTTGATACATTTCAGTCACAAGCTTATTTTTTATTTTTTTTATTTACTCGTAGCTGAGCTCAATATGTCCAATATTAAACATCACAGTGCGGAGTATTAAAGCTTCTGCTAAGCAATCAAGATTGTCACCAATCAACCTACTGCATTTTTATTTCATTTGTAAAATGTTAATGTATTGTCTAGATAATGCTCATCGTGCCTATTGTGTACAAATTGTGCACAGAACACTAAAGATTATTTGTAATTGTTGGAAGAGTTATCACTAAGTGACACTGACCAATACATAGCTCAATGTCGTTATATCAACAGATCATGAAACCTCTCATTTTATGTGACACACTAATTACAGGAATTATTGCGGATTAAATTGATTACATGCATAGCAAATTGTGTCAACAGTTGTGCATACAAGAACATCATGTTCAAATGAATATTATATTTCTGTGCTTAATTTCTCCAAAAAAATATAACATTCACAATTCTTGTAAACAAAGTAGGAGGTGGCTTTTCTTTCTCTTTTTGCCTGTCCTCTTCCTCCTTCTTTTCCAGTCCCTTGGCCAAAAAAATACGATGTGCCATGCTCATTAGGAATTTAATGTGCTTGGTGCGTTCTTCTTCTGGGTCACTTCCATGTTCCAAGCTGAATTTGACATCATCCAAGACACTTTTTATGATGTTCAATATATCTGTGTGTTTCTCTCGTGTTGCCAGCTGTCTGTCCTCAGTGTAATTCTCCACTGGAAATACTCGATTGGTTCCCAAACGTCCTTCCACATCCTTGTAATTACCACTGGTTTTATTAGTCAGGACAATGGTAGGGTTAATACCTAAAAACACACAAAACAATTCATGAAAATGATCTTCAATGGCATGCTGAGTAATTTATCAGAATGACTAGATATACGGATTAGTATGTTCCATACTCGGTGATCATTTATGTTGCTGTATTGCATGAATAAAGAAGTAATATTCACCTGTCATGTCCTGACACGTTTTAAGGAACTCTTTTACTTCCATATCTTCCTCTTTGGCCAAGTTTGTTTTCACACTGGAGAAATATAAAATAAGAGAGAAAATAATTATAATAAAATCTGGGGAATATAAAAAGATCCACTTGAGAAAGTCCTAAGGGGGAGAAACGCGTTGTGGAAATTTTAACTAACTGTATTTTAATAAAGGTATTTTGGCCACTTTCTTTGTTGTGAGTTAGCTATTTTATCTTTTTTACCATTTTTATTATTTTACTACCTAGCATCTGAGTTTTACTTCCAGAGAGATACTACTACAAAGCATCCTTGGTGGGGATTATACCACTCACGCCCTATTATTGAGCAGTGTGTCTGCCCAATTAAATGTGAGTAATCATTTGGTATTTTTATTCACTCTCCTGATTTTATCACAGTGAGCACTCTTGTTTTTTATGTTACATATGGTCCCCATCTGATGAGATATCTACTTACAACTCTTCCTCACGTATCCCATAAGTGGGAATTATATCACTGTATGCTGTTTATACTAGAGCTAGTTTTTAGCTCTCAAAAACGTGAGCAGAACCATATAGACTTTTTTTTTTTATTGGCTGCTACTATTTGGATTTTATTGCAGTATTAGATTTTCTTTTCTCTTCCATACAAATCCCACAAACTCCTTGATCCCACTGCTCCATAGACATCTCTACCTCAGATGGCATAGTGATTGTTTTCTCATCCCAAGGCTTTACTGGACACCTTTTGGACCATTCTTTACATACATACACACACCTATTATTTTTTTATTGTTCTCTCTCTGTATTATATATCATTGTTTATTTCTATATTACTACTTGCTTATATTTAATTGTATTTATTAAAGGTTTTAAGCGCTGATCCTACTGTACACTTTTCACTTAGAGAGATACATCAATGTCGTAAATTACAAAGGAGATATGATTGTGACAGACCGCTGGCACTCCGACTGAGTACCTCCGCCAATCGATGCTCCTAGTGCTCGCTGAGTACTCCAAGCACTCCAACCGACACCATCAGCACTGCAGACCCCACTTCCAGCGATGCAGCTGCACCGGGGTCTCGCTGTCTCCACCCACCCTGGACCCAAGGCCAGGATCCAGCTTCCAGGGTGTGAACCTCTCTTTCCCCAGAGAGCAGGAACAGGAACAAGCTCTTAGCAGAACTTAGTGATCATACCCTGGGGAGTATAGTGATTATAGCAATCCCCAGAGTGTAGTTTCTCCAATCCCCCAAACATGAGACATGGCTTCAAGAAAGGTACAAGATGATCTGGTTTTAATGAGCACACACTGGCTTTTATGCAAGTCCCCATGCAAGGGGACATCCCACAGGGTGGGACACAGTATAACCAATCACAGACAATACAAACAAAACACTCCCACAGTGACATCACAATCTCTCCTCTCTATCCTGGAGATAATTGGGAAGTAATCAACTTATCTCCCTGGACAGAGGCAAGACTCCATTAACCACATGGTTACAAAAATACATAAAATTACACAATGTTACAATTACTACATAAAACAGATACCTGCAACATATACCCAGATAGCTTAGATCTGAGTGCACATTATTATTGAATGGCGCTCAGATCACATACATACAATTCAATTGCCATGAAGCCAAAGTCTTTTCCATAGTCTTTTGTTACACAAATAGGCTCCATGGCATAGCTATCTGGAGTAGCACTACTACCACACTGAAAGTCCAGAACGCCCCGGCAGAAATACACAAATAAACTTTTCTGCAGGGGAAAATACAGCTATCAGCACAGGGGCCATAGTCGGAAGGCAGGAGGCTAGCCAGTAGTCCCCTCCAGGCGCTTGTGGAGAAGGGCACTTCGTCACAATGATTAAAAAGTAAACACAGCTAACTGACACTCAGACATTGAATGTATTCAAATGTGCACAAAATAACTAATAACAAGGATTTTTTATTTTCACAATAGCAACATTTTTACTAAGGGGATAGGTTATGTGCACAAGAGGGACCTCGGTGTGTGCCAAATCTTTCAATTCATTCAATATGACATTTACAACATGCCCTCTCTGCTCCCGTCAATGAATTGGATAGTTACATTTAAATATAGTCTTGCACTTCATTGTGCTGTGTAAGTCATAACATCATCATACACAGACCCAGGGCGGTCAGAATCTCACAGCTTATTGATCCTTGATCCCTCTTACACCTAAAACTATTTGAAAGAAAACATTCTTTGATGGATGCTCCTAGTGCTTACCGAGAGTTTCAAGCACTTCTCCAGACACCATAAGTACTGCAGACCCCACGAACCGCCGCAGATTGGTTGGAGTCTCGCCGTCTCCTACCAACCCTGGACCTACGACAAGGCACCAGATTCCAGTGGGTGAACCTCTCTTCCTCCAGAGAGCAAAGCAGGAACAAGCTCTTACGAGGGAGTACGAAGAGCATAACAATCCCTTGTAGCAGTTTCCCCCAATAAGAGACAGGACTCTAGATTGAGGGTGAAGTAGAACTGCAAGTTTAATGGAGCATCTGGTCTTTTATACAAGTTTCCCCACAAGGTTACCGCCCAGGTGGATCATGTGGGGCACAGGACATAAAATCGACAAGCCAATACAAAACAGTGCGATAATGAATAACACTCCCACATACTGTACACAATCCCTCCCCTCTGCCTGTGATACAATTAACAAAGACAATGGACTAACTCAATTACCTTTAGTAGAAAAACATACTGTGATAAGGTGAATGGGCTGGTCTGTGAGGGAGTTTATATTTCATCCGCATTGTTCAGAGAGGCATATGATCTTTAACCCCAGGGGGAATGTATGTATGTATGTAACTTAAATGCATATTTAGTTATGGGCCCCTGGGGTGGAGCATTTGGAGAGAAGGGTGGGCCAGTGCTCCACTCCACTGTTTATTGTTTTCTCTTCGGAGACTAGGTTCAAGACCAGGCTTTGGACTGTCTCCAACCCACTGCTCAGCTGCAGGTAATTAGCTGCAGCAGTGGGAATAAAGCCCTCCCTGCCAGGCAGATAAAGGGGAGAATGTTTATTTCTCTCTGGAAGGGCAGGAAGCAGCAGGCTGTCCAAAACACTGGAATGCTGAGAGCTGAAAAAGACGCTAGGTTGGTGAAACCACTTCTTGTTTTTTTATAGATTAAACCCTTGAGAGAGAGAGGGAACTTGATGTCAGTTAGTGCTCAGACCGAGCTAGGTTTTTGTTTATAGGATTTTGTTACATTTTTGTTTTTATTTGCTGCTGTAGCTGTGGTGGAGTTTGACAATAAAACTGCCTGAATTATATGCAAACCAAAGGACTGTGCCTGTTGTTTACCCTAGAGCACCGTGCCACCTGCAGACAAGGATCACAATACATTTTTACAAAGTCCAGAAAACACCCCAAAACATCACATTTCCCTGGATAGCCCTGATCTGGCTGAACAACATATCCAAAAATCACCCAGATCAGAGCAGGGGTTTAGGAAATTCCTGGAAGTCTCTTTTGACCGACCGCAAGCATGGCCCCATGCGCAAAACAGTTCCATAGAATCAGAGCTATCGGTCGGTCTCTCTGCCTGGAGTACAAAAGTACATAACTCAGATGAACAGAGCCTGTTTAAAGTATTATAGCCAGGTTTATCACACGGGCCATAGTCACAGGGTAGGAGACTGGCAAACAGGACCCTCCAAAAACCAGTGGCGAAGTTGCTTTTGTCACAAAAATTATCTCTCAGGTATAGAATATGTACAATTGTTACACCTCAAAATACACACAATACAAACAGGTACCCCCTCAAGACCTATATCGCCGGGTATCCTGGATCTGAGCATCCAACATACCCAGAAAGCACTCAGATCCCATGAACGCAGCCAAAACACCAGAGGGGTAAAGATTTGTCTCTTTTCTGGGGTACAAACTCACACAGAAAAGGAACATAGAAATTAGTCCGTATGCTGAGTATGTGTCCCTCATTTGGGAGTAAGCTCCCACCGAACACTGTTCCTTTCAGGTAAATATAACCGAACATAGGTGGAGATGGAAGTTCTGCGGTGTTCGTGCGGTGGAGTGTCCATGCACGCAACAACCAAAGACTGCTGCTTGTGTTCGCGGCTCAAGATGGCCGCCACCACGTGTTCATACATATGAATGTCGACCACCCAGCCGACAGCCTAGAACACTGCGGTTACTAGTGTTAAATAGGTGTTTATAGGGGTGATGAAGGTTAACAAGCAGCACATGCAGCATACGAGTTGTCTGGTAGTTCGTGGTTTGTTTTTTTTCGGTATTTGAACAAAACAAGAAAAAAAATGTAGGCGATCGCGATATACAGAACTAACAGGAGAATGGGAAAGAACTTTAAAAATCCAGTGACAGGGTGGTCTGCCCCTTTATGTATGATATGTGCTATTAGTTTGACACGCAAAGCTTTCCCACTGAAGGAGCAAGGCAACTTATAGTAACCCCAAGAGTAGACTCCTCCGTCTTAACTTGCAGTTATTTTTGCTATTATACTTACTTATATTACAAGAATACATAAACACTTCTCACCTGTAAACAAATATAGGAACAATAAAATCGGTGTAGTCGGAGTCTGATTTTCTATTTATAATACATAAAATGTCATCATGTTCTTCAGCCCACTTCACCTCCTGATTAAGAGGGAGTAAATTTGCTGCAAGAAATCAAAACAGGAAGATGTAAAATAATTCGAACTTTAATTTAAAAAATTGTAATTTGTAAAATATAACATTCAGCAAATAAACACCGAAAGAAAGGGGACCTATATTTCACAAACAGATCTAAAGCACATAATAATAATAATAATAATAATAATAATAATAATAATAATAATAATCAGGAACAGCTAGGAGAAGCACTGCTTTTGCTAACGGGAAAAGTACAGGCTAATGCAAAGAATCCCATGGGAAATTCTAGGCCTGAACGGGTCCACCTTCAGGGCCAGAGAATCCAGGGCTGTATTGTGACATCTACTAAACAAGTGAAAGATAAAAATTACAAAAGGGGCTTTTCTTAAAGGACCACTATAGGGTCAGGAACACAACCATGTGTTCCTGACCCTATAGTGCTAAACCCACCATTTAGGTGGCTTTCCACCCCTCAGCTCCCTTAAAAGTTAGTAAAAATCACCTTATTTCCAGTGCCGCGCTCTTCCGGTGCTAGCTCGGCCCGCTTGGTGGCATCATCAAAATTGCCGATTTTGAGCCAATGGGGAAAACATTGGATTGGCTAAAATCGGCAAGGAGGAGGGGCCAAATGTCGTTTTGGCCAATCAGCACCTCTTCAATCAATGCATCTCATGAGCCAGGAAGCACCTCCAGTGGTCATCTGAGGAGTGGCCACTTGGAGGTGTCCCTAGGGGCAATGTAAACACTGCATTTTCTCTTATCATTGAGCTTGGAGACTATGGTGAGGCCTAATAGAAAGCAGTTGTTGGGGGATTCCATTATAAGAGGTGTGGAGATGGACAATGGTGGTCTTGTGAGGTGTCTTCCCGGAGCTACTGCTCACAGAGACAGGAGACGTATCTGTAATATTGTTAAGCAAGCAAAGCAGGAAGGGGAATTGGATGTACTTGTCCATCTAGGGACAAATGACTTGGCTTGCAATGAGGTTTCAGAGGTTAAGGAAGTTTTTAGTGTTTTTGCCAATGATATACGGCAGGTTGCTTCCACACTGTCATTCTCTGAAGTTCTGCCTGTGCATAACACTCAGAACGACAGGCGGATGCGTATTAGGGACTTTAATTTGTGGCTTGGTGAATGGTGTGGGAGCAAGGATTTGGCTTTATTTCTCATGGTAGCTCTGTTTGGAATGGAATAAGCTGTACAAAAAAGATGGTTTGCATCTTTCTCAAAAGGGAACAAATGTTCTCAGTGAGCAGTTCAGAGGTTTTGCTAGGATGTATTTAAACTAGGAGGGGGGGGCAAAAGGGTGATAAAACATCAATCCAATTGTCCCCCAAAACAAGGACAGAAGGTGCCTGTAGCAAGTGTGTTAAAAAATGATAAGCTTAGAGTCATGTCTACAAATGCTCGCAGTTTAGGGAATAAGATCCATGAACTTGTGGCAATAATGGCAACTGATAGTGTAGATTTAGTCGCTGTTACTGAGACATGGTATAATGAGAAAAATGACTGGGACATAGCAATACCAGGGTACTCTTTATATAGAAAAGATAGGGAAGGCAAGAAAGGGGAGGGGTGGCCTGTATGTGAAGGATAGCATAAAATCTAGCCTAATAAAAGTTAGTGAGGCAAACATAGAGTCCGTTTGGGCTACGTTAGAATTTGGTAATCACACAGTAACTCGTGTAGGTGTGATTTATAGGCCCCCAGGACAAATTGAAGAGTTAGATAATCTACTAGTTGAGGAAATAGCTAAAATGACAATGAAGGGGGAAGTTATCATCATGGGTGACTTTAATCTTCCTGATGTAAATTGGAAAACAAAATTAGCTACTTGTGCCAGGAGCACACATATTCTAAACTCCCTACTGGGATTGTCTCTAAAACAAGTTGTTGAGGAGCCAACTCGTAAAGAGGCCATACTAGATTTAGTGTTAACAAATGGAGATTTGGTATCAGATATTACTGTAGGTGAAAGTTTAGGATCCAGTGATCATCAGTCAGTGTGGTTTAATATAAGAACAGTGACTGAGTCACACCACACAAAAACAAAAGTTTTAGACTTTAGAAAAACAGACTTTTCTAAAATTAGAATATGGGTAGAGGAGTCATTATCAGACTGGAGCAATTTAAATGGAGTCCAAGAGAAATGGGATTATTTAAAAGTTGCACTATTGAAGGCAACAGAAAATTGCATTAGGCTTGTCAGTAAAAGCAAAAATTCAAGAAACCACTGTGGTACTCCGCAGATGTGGCCAAAATAGTTAAAAACAAAAAGTTAGCATTTAAATTATAAAAAAACCCAGAGTGAGGAAGACAAAATGATCTATAAGATTAGGCAGAAAGAGGCTAAGCAAGTTATAAGAGCTTCCAAATCACACACAGAAGAGAAAATAGCACAGTCAGTAAAAAAAGGGGATAAAACATTTTTTAGATACATAAATGAGAAAAGAAAAGTAAAACAAGGATTAGTTAGATTAAAAACAAAAGAAGGAAGGTATGTAGAAGAGGATAAAGGTCTAGCTGACTGCCTCAATTAATATTTTTGTTCTGTATTTACAGATGAAAATGAAGGAAAGGGACCTCAGTTGAGAAAAAGGATAAATGAGTCATTTATTACACGTGAGTTTACAGAGGAAGAGGTTCTATTTCAACTGTCAAAAGTAAAGACAAATAAGTCAATGGGACCTGATGGAATACACCCAAAGCTATTAAAAGAGCTTAGTGGTGTACTAGCAAAACCATTAACAGATTTATTTAACCAATCATTGTTAACAGGAGTAGTCCCAGAAGATTGGAAGTTAGCGAATGTTGTGCCCATTTACAAGAAAGGTAATAGGGAGGAGTGGGGCAACTATAGGCCAGTAAGCCTTACTTCAGTAGTGGGGAAAGTGATGGAAACCATGTTAAAGGATAGGATTGATGAACGTCTAAAAACACATGGATTTCAAGATCAGAGACAACATGGGTTTACTTCAGGGAGATCATGCCAAACTAATCTTATTGATTTTTTGATTAGGTAACTTCATTGCCGTTAGGGTAGTGCAGTAGACATTTGCTTACCTAGATTTCAGTAAGGCTTTTGACACTTTATTTGCACATAGAAACTATCAATAAACTGCAATCTTTAAGTTTGGATTCAAATATTGTTGAATGGGTAAGGCAGTGGCTGGGTAACAGGCAACAGAGGGTTGTAGTTAATGGAATATATTGAAGCTTGGACTTGTCACCAGTGGGGTACCTCAGGGATCTGTACTTGGACCCATTCTCTTTAATATTTTTGTGGTGTGTGCAGAAGGTCTTGATGGTAAGGTATGTCTTTTTTGCTTTGATGATACTAAGATATGTAACAGGGTTGATGATGTTCCAGGAGGGATAAGCCAAATGACAAATGATTTGGTGGCTTTGAAAATGATTGCAAATTTGTGTTTTGTGTGGATGGTAGGATGGTATGGAATGAAGCGAAGGTGCAGAATATTTGATAGAGTCCTAACCTCAACATATGAGGAAGGGATTTAGGGGTGATTATTTCTGATGACTTAAAGGTAGGCAGACAATGTAATAGAGCAGCAGGAAATGCTAGCAGAATGCTTGGGTGTATAGGGAGAGGTATTAGCAGTAGAAAGAGGGAAGTGCTCATGCCATTGTACAGAACACTGGTGAGACCTCACTTGGAGTATTGTACACGGTACTGGAGACCGTATCTTCAGAAGGATATTGATACCTTAGAGAGGGTTCAGAGAAGGGCTACTAAACTGGTTCATGGATTGCGGGATAAAACTTACCAGGAAGGTTAAAGGATCTTAACATGTATAGCTTGGAGGAAAGACGAGACAGGGGGGATATGATAGAAACATTTAAATACATAAAGGGAATCAACACAGTAAAGGAGGAGACTATATTTAAAAGAAGAGAAAAACTACCACAACAAGAGGACATAGTCTTACATTAGAGGGACAAAGGTTTAAAAATAATATCAGGAAGTATTACTTTACTGAGAGGGTAGTGGATGCATGGAATAGCCCCTTCCAGCTATGAAGTGGTAGAGGTTAACACAGTAAAGGAGTTTAAGCATGCATGGGATAGGCATAAGGGTATCCTAACTATAAGATAAGGCTAGGGACTAATGAAAGTTTTTAGAAAATTGGGCAGACTAGATGGGCCGAATGGTTCTTATCTGCCGTCACATTCTATGTTTCTATGTTTCTATGTTTCTGTAGTTGTTCAGGTGACTATAGTGTCCCTTTAATTTTGATCTTTCAGCTGTTTAGTAGATAACTCCCTAAATTGGTACCCTTGTGTGGGATTTTCATACTTGATGATAACAAATTAGGGTGATGTTTAACAGATAGTTCCCTTATTTGGTGTGTAAGTATTGCAATCCCACATAAAGATAGCAAATAGGGAGTTATCTGCTAAAGATATCATAAGCCAATACCAGAACAGATATGCCAGGTGGCTAATGTGAATGATGCCGACATTTGTTGTGTGACTCCAGCATGCTGACACCAATGGCAGAACATTACCCCACTCCCCAGTGTAAATTATTTGTGCCCACCACCCACCCACAGTTTTTAGTATGATGTCTAATGTGCCCCCCCATATATTGTTCATAGAGTTGCCACTGGTTCCTGGACCCCCAATTTACTATGAGGGGTATTTTCTCTTAGACCATAAGCAGCAATGTGAGGGTGAACAACAGGATGTGGGATAGTAGTTTTGACGTAATTACTTAGGAGATGCAGAAGACCTGTTTAAAGGAAACTATGGGGTAAAATGGTACCCTATATCTTACAATTCTTTATTTAAAGGAGCACTGCAGTGCCCACATGGTAAAAAAAATAAAAATCACAAACTAGTAGGATATACCTGGATGGCACAGTGTTAGAATAAGCACAATTCATTGGTTAATAGCTTATCTTACATCGTGCAGAATGATGACCCTGACATTGCTGTACTCTTAATTAATCATACATTAATCCTGCATGAATATATATTATCACACTGCACTCTGTTCTATCTTTAAACATGTTAATGATGTCTATAAAATATCACTTACTTTATTATATCACGATTAAGACTTGTTTAGCTAAACTCAAAGCTCCCTATTATGTGACACTAGTCAAATCCTGTAGCAGATGGCAATATTGGGTACAAGCTAAAGAGGATAATTATTTGGGGTACAATGGCAGGGCAAAGTAGGTTAAATTTGACTCAGCATAAATCATATGACGGTGACACATTTTCTAATTCTTTTCTCTGCCACAAGTTAAATAAAGCTGGCTTACATCTTAAGATGGTGGATGGCATGTGCTAAATTATGTCTAACAGGAGGTTCCAATGTACATATCTGCCCCAAATGCCAAGTGACCTAAGTATACCTCTAGCTCCCATGTCTAAATATTCAACATCTACATTGTTGTCCTGATTTCCTGTTTGAATGAATAACACATTAAATGTATCAATTGTAACTTACCCAATTGGCTGTTTATCTGTATTTTCTCAAAGTTATCCATTTTTTTAAACCCTCTGTTATCCACAATGAAAATGGTGTCTGTTAGTTTGTAGG